GTGAAAAGATTTTCTCAATTCGGTGCGGAATCGAATCAAATAGTAACTATGTAGCGATGCTGCGCTCGAGCTCATTAATTAGGCATTATAAATTAGGTTTATAAAACGCATGTGCGAGACGAACGCGTTGTCAGCGCATATGGGTAGCTCGCTGGATAAACCCCCATTTTTGAAGCATTCAAATTATTCGCTTCCACAGTATGTCGCGCTGATGTGGTTTTTGATGAATACCGGTCGTGGCGTTGTCGCGTGCATGGTAGCCACCAAGTATAAGTCGACACTCATACCGCACCCACTGTCCGCATCTAACTGTGCGTCCCTCGGGGTTGGCATCGTGCCGCTGCCACCAACGGGTGGCGTACACGAGGTTGATGGATGGTGGGAGGCGGAGGCGGTAGCTGACCACACTCAAATTCTTGAGCCGTTACTGGACTCACCCCTGGCGAGCCACCGTATGCCAGCCGGGCTATATGTTCGGGGCGACACGTTGGTCATCCCGGCTGGGCATGCGGCCATAATTTCCTGGCTGGAGGTGTGGCATTGCTGGCGATTCCAGTGCCAGTATTTCTGGGTCAGCCGGGTGCCACCGCCTAAGCACTTCTGCTTCAAGGCGTTCGCAATCCCCATCAACTACGGCGCCGACAGTCGCGAGGAGTGGGACGAGGACCGCACGGGGCACCGGAGGGACACCGGCTATGATTCACCGGAGGAGCCGGTGAACGATATCGCCCACCATGATCTTGTCGCAAACGCCGACGCTGATCTGGACGCCAAGTGGCCGTGAAGGTCACCGATGTCTGCATGCCGTCCGCGTCCGCTCCAGGATTAGCGACCCGCGCACGCCTCCACGACTTGAGCGTGCGACGGGTACGCGCTAGGCTCCCCTGCGTGACGCGTCCTGAGCGGCGAGATACGGAGCCGACAGACGAGCCAGCCTCCGCCGAGCGAAGCGACGCGTCCCGGGATACGGCGCCGCCAGCCGGGTGATACACACCGAATCTACTGCGATCGTCCGTGTAACCGCGATGCGCGAGTAGTATAGTAGTATAGTAGTGGTGGTGGTTTGCGTGGTATGTAGCTTAAGTAATTGATTATCCTGGTGGTAGAACGGTCGGAAACTAAATGCAAGCGCGAAACCCTATGTTTAACGGCATAGGCGATTTTTTTTATTGGTGTTTTGACATGTATATTGAACGAGCACATGTTACGTGCCACATCCGTACCGTACGCATTCAGTATTGTAATACCGTTGAAAGACGGATAAGTAAATATCTAGGAGTAACCTATTGTTCTGGTGTGGCATATATGGCCTGCTGTGTGAGGTCGCAACACACGAATAGACAGGACCGGGACAGAGTAGAAGTAGCCACTTATAGACAAGCCTGTAGTACGGACTGACGAGAGACAATAGGTAGGCGTGTCTACCTATGTCAGTATATCACCGCGTGTGCGACCAGAGAACGAAGAAGAGAGCGATAGTGTAATAGAAATACAGGCATATATCTTGGTTAGAGACAGCGACTGACAGCTTATACCTCCACCATGAACATCACCCGAGAGAGCCACTCCCCCTGCGACCAAGAAGATTGGGAGGACGAGTTGCAGGCGGCGCTGAGCCAGGTCAGCACGCGGAGCAACGACGCGGGGCGCCGTCCCCACGACCAGGCAACGGCGCGGGACGTGCAGGAAGAATCGCCCCACAAGCGGTACTGCGAGCGCCGACCGCCGCCGCGCCACCGCCGCCGACCGCCGCCGCCACGCCACCGCCGCCGACGACGGTTGCGCGACACAGTCGACTCGCACCGCCCCCGCCACGTTGTGCACGCAGTGTACGCTGCGCCCGTGTCGACGCCGCGATCAGGCCACGCCACCCGTCGCCACGGTCAGGCCGTGCGTCACAGCCGGTACCACGACGGCCGCAGCTGTCGCTACCGCCGCCACCGCCGCCGTAGCCAGGGTGCACCAGACACTAGGCCACCGGCCCAACTGCAGGCCCGCGCATGCCACACCGCGCCTCATCTTCGGACCATCTTCGGAGCAGATCGCCTATACGACGTGGTACCACTACCGCGACGATGTAATGAAGTTCCGGCAACTCAACCCGGGCTTCACGGTGGTGCACATGGAAAATAACAATTTAGCGTTGAAGGTCGTCCCCGTGGAAGCCGCGCCACATGCAGGTCTGTCCACGTCACACCAGTCGTTGCATTTTTGGCCCGTGATCAAGAGAATTTAAGGACCCACGCAAGACGACAGAACTTTACACTACAAAAACTTTGCCGACTAACGCCAGTTAGCGCAGGCCGACGAATTACAGGACCGCTAGTAGTGCGACCTTCACACGAACGACGAGCTCCGGTAAGTGACACTCTACCATCGTGCCAGCCATGGTTGTCGCATGTATTATGCGACTGTGCGACTGTATTTCATTGTTGTTGTATGCACTACGTTAAACTATATGTCTCACGTTTTACGCACTCTATGTTACTTATGTTTCACACAATATTTGTTACGTCGCATCCTTAAGACGCACTACCTCGCAGGTTTTGAATGCATACATATGTACGTTTGTTGTTGTAAGCACGCTATGTGTTGAGCGGCAGTAACCACCGTTTATGTAATAACCTAGCCTCTTTCACAGCAACATGAACATCACCCGGGAGACGAGCCACTCCCCCTGCGATGACCGAGAAGCTTGGGAGGAAGAGTTGCAGGCGGCGCTGAGCCAGATCAGCACGCGGAGCAACGACGCGGGGCGCCGTCGACACGAGCAGGCAACGGAGGAGGAAGAACCACCCCACAAGCGATACTGCGAGCCGACCGACGCCGCCACGCCACCGCCGCTGCCGCCGACCGCCGCCGTAGCCGTGCGCGTGCAACAGACGACGCAGACAATTAACAGCCGGCCCAACTGCAGGCCCGCGCATGCGACGCCGCGCCTCATATTCGGCGCATCTGGGGAGCAGATCGCGTACAATTCGTGGGATCACTACCGCGACGATATAATTAAGTTCCGGAAACTCCACCCGGGCTTCACGGTGGTGCACCTGCAAAATGACTATTTAGCGTTGAAGGTAGTCCCCGTGGAAGCCGCGCCTCGTGTAGGGCTTTCATGGGAGAACCAGCATCGCCCAGCGCACCTGGTGAAGGACGAAGCCTGGATGGTCAGCGACGACGAGGACGCCGAGGAAGAAGAGGAGCGAGGCTTCTACAGCGGGTACCACCGAGAACCCCACGATGACGGCGAGGACCCCCACGATGACGGCGAGGACCCCACGATGACGACGAGGACCACGACGACGACGGCTGCAATGCCAGACTAGTTAATTTTTTTTGTTCTTGTTTTGAATTATGCAAGAAACAGTAATGCGGTTAGGGAATATAAGTTAACGTGGTATAGGTATATGTGTCGCGGAGTTAAGGAGTTAGTCATACCACAGTCATATGCGCGGTGTCGGACGAAACAGATTAAGCAGGGGGTAACGTTAGCGAAGGTAGAGACGGCGCTTGTAGGCAAGCGTCAGGTAGTTTACTAAAATGACGACTGTATAACCAAGGTGGTGTTGGTATTGTATCGTGCAGTGATTGGAGGGGCGTTATTAATAAATATCATGGATGTGTGTATTATCTAAATTCCTGCGTTCCGTTGTCTATCAGTGGCTGTATTTTATATCCTCGAGCGGGGTTATTCCTTCACAAGGTACTAGTTATAAATACGATCACGCCGACGCGCGTGGGCTTTAATAAAGAAGCACGCGGTGACATGATTATAAAAGCGTCCTACGACACATCGATTAATTAACACCATAATACTACGAGTATTGGTAACCTTTGCCTCGACAGATGTTGCGATTAGTTTTAGAGGGCCACGGAAGGCGTTAGATATTAGCGAGCACGCAGTAGTGCGGGCTAAGATAATTAGCCACTGTCATGAAGCAAAACATACAAAATAAAGCAACCAGGGACATTTTGGCAGCCAGCCAGGGGCCAAAAGCCAGGGGCCAGGGGCCAGGGACCGAAGTGGCCAGGGGCCAGGGGCCAGGGGCCGAAGTGGCCAGCGAGATGAGAAGGGATGCGCCCACCGAGAACGGCACACCCAGGGATATAAAAAGGGGACACGGGGAGAGAACGTGGCCTTGTTGTGACGACGGACACAGTTCAGTGCAACAAATAAACCACCGTTTCTCCTGTGACATCAGACTGTTTGCTTTACAAACGACTTGCATTTATTCGACACTACACATGTGCATCCTTGTATGTTCTCGATACATGTGCATCCATGTATGTTCATGATATATACGCATTGACATGTTCATGCTACATGGTACATATTGTCATGAATGAGGATACACACATACATTATTCATGATAATAGAGATTATGTGATTTGACATACCTTGATGTGCGGCAGGAATTCCATGGCAGGCCACACTAGAATATCCATCACCACTCGGACTGACGCACTATTCCTTGGCTGTAGTTTTCCTGTAATCAACTTCAATATCTATGATTTATTTTAAAAGCTATAGTAGAAGCATTGGGTACATGCTATTGGCACTAGGCTAACTCTTGAGAATATAAATATAGCATTTCGATATTTCAAATACACTTTTATGTCGTTTTTTTCGTTGTAGCGATAGGTTTGACTGGAGAAGGGTAGGAAACACTAAACCAAGTTTTAACTAGTCAATGGTAGATTGAGATAGATATATATATATATATATATATATATATATATCAACTCAGGGCAAATTACATGAATAGTATTATCTGAATTTTTCATGCACCTTGCTCCCTTACAATATGTTCCTCTATGATAAAGAACCAGAATACCTTAGGGATTTGTTTAACAAATCTGGCTTCAGTAGACAGTTGTTTGGCTCCGTCAGTGTGATAGTGAACTGCCATCGTCGTCTCATAACCTGTTCACACGGCAATCGCTGAAGTCATCCCTTGCCAATCTTTTGTTTGTAGTTGGGAACAGTGGTGACACCTATTGAGGGGAAAGTTTGTTAAACGGGCTATAATAGTAATAATGAAGACTCAACATGTAATTTCTCCCTCTGGCAAACTACAGACACATGGAAAGGTACTTTTGGTCATGCCATGGTCTAGCTCTAGTACTATAGCCCGCGTTCATTAACTAGCGCAGGGCTATAGAACATTGTCAGCTCAATTTCGCTACTGCAACTTGTCACCACCTGTCCCCACGAAAAATTGATTGCAAAACGCAAAATGATCGGGCTTTTTAACACTTATTTATCTACATGGACATCTCACCTATCTTTTTGAACACTTTCCACAACTTTACACCATGTATTTTAATTTATCCTTTTATTACTCAAGTCAGCACTACTGGCAATCCCGTTTGAAAATATTCTGGCGTGCAAACGCGTGACGTCACCGGTATTGTATATACATGCACCATAGGTGCCATGTGTTTTGCCTACATATCCGGTGCATGTATATACAATACCGGTGACGTCACGCATTCGCACGCCAGAATATTTTCAAACGGGATTCCCGCAGTGCCGCAGAGTGACAGGGCTCATCTGGTGTCTGGTGTTCTGCTGATAAATTCATTTGTGCATAGCAAGACGTCCTATACATACGTTCATTTCTAACCCCAAAAAACAACACTTCAAACTAGTGTAATAAAATTCCGATAGATGGCGGGCCGCTATCAAAGGCATCGTTGCATCGGTCAGCCAAAGCATTGCAGAAATGGCAGCTGTCAGTGTGACGACAAATTGCAAAAAGCAGGAGCGAATAATTACCATATTATTACTATACATAACGTGCGTTCTATGGTGTCAGGTAATATGGTACATTAAACCCCTTGCGAGGCACATCTGGCTCGTTAAAAATAGCTCAATGGTTGATGCAACCAGAGCAGCTC